TGCTGTGAGCTAGGATGACGCCATGGCACTCTAGCCCGGGCAACACAGTGAGACTCTGTCTCAGAAAAAAAATGTGAGAGACACGAGTAAGCACATGCTGTTGGAAAAATGGCACCAATAGACTTGCTCAATGCAGGGTTGCCACAAACCTTCAATTTGTAAAAAACACAGTATCTGCAAAGCACAGTAAACGAGGTATGCCTGTACTATTTGCAGCTAGATGTATAATCAGTTGAGTGGCAGACTTTTCCCACCCTGTACAACTCCCCATGATATTCTCCTTTATACTTTAGTATGTAATGTTGATCAGGTTACCCAAGACATTGTTACTGTGGAGGTAGGGCTTAACTTTTTGTATTCCACAGGATTCAACTTTTCGGTCACTCCATCTGAAGGTGTTTTTCAGAGGTAAACCACTTCAAAAGTAACAAATGTAAAAATAACAAACCTTTGGAGAATCTGTAGCTAAAGAATGTTTATATATGTTACAATATGTCTCATGTCTGAAACTGTTAAGGGAAGTAAGAACATAAGAAAAATTACTGTGTGTGGTGGTACACATCTGTAAGTCTCAGCTACATGGGAGGTTGGGGCAGGAGAACAGCTTGAACCCAGGCGTTTGAGGCCAGCCTGGACAACATAGCAAGACCATGTCTCTTAAAAAGCAAAAAACAAAAAAAGAAGAAGATAAGGGAAAAATAAATAATAAAGAAATAAGGAAAAGAATTAGGAGTATATGGAAAAATTGGAACTCACATACACTGCTGGTGGAAACGTAAAAATGGTGCAGCCACTTTTGGAAACAGCCTGGTAATCCCTGCAAATGTTAAAACATAGAGTCACCATAGGACCCAGTAGTTCCACTCCTAGGTATATACCCAGGAGAATTGAAAACATTATCTCCACACAAAAACTTGTCCAAAAATGTTCATAGTAACATTATTTGTAAAAAGTAGAAACAAATGTCTATCAGTTAATGAACTGATAAACAAAATGTGATATATCGATACAGTGGAATAGTATGCAGCCATAAAAAGAAATGAAGTAATGATATGTCAACAATATGAATAAACCTTAAAAACATAATGCTGGCCAGGTGTGGTGGTTCACACCAGTAACCCCAGCACTTTGGGAGACCAAGGTGGGAGGATCGCTTGAGGCCAGGAATTCAAAATCAGCCTAGGCAACATAACAAGACCCTGTCTGTACAAAAAAATTAAAATTAGCCAGGCATGGTGGCATGTGACTGTAGTCCCAGCTGCTTGGGAGGCTGAGGCAGGAGGATTCCTTGAGCCCATGAGTTCAAGGCTCATGGTATGAGCTGTGATCACACCACGATACTCCAGCCAGGTGGGACAGATTGAGACCTGGTCTTTAAAAAAAAAAAGAAAGAAAGAAAGAAAGAAAAATTAAAAATAGAAGCCGGGGCCGGGCACGGTGGCTCACGCCTGTAATCCTAACACTCTGGGAGACCGAGACGGGCGGATTATTTGAGCTCAGGAGTTCGAAACCAGCCTGAGCAAGAGCGAGACCCTGTCTCTACTAAAAATACAAAAAAATTAATCGGACAACTAAAAATATATAGAAAAAATTAGCCAGGCATGGTGGTGCATGCCTGTAGTCCCAGCTACTCGGGAGGCTGAG